GCTATGTTCTGGGTGCAAATCCACCATACCAAGTCATCAGGTTATGTGAGGTAGAATTGGGGAAAACTGGGAATAGATAAGATTCTGATTTTGGAGGGTGGTATTTTTGTGGTCAGATTTAAAACTGGAGAAGCTAAGGAAGAGGTGTTAAGGCATCCAATCTATCACTTTGACAACAAACCTTTTGTTGCTAAAGATTGTCGATTATGGAGGGCATTAACATGGATGAAATCACTAAGGTCCCTGTTTGGATTGAGCTACCTAAGCTTAGTCTTAAATACTGGAATGCTAGGTCATTAAGTAACATTGTCAGTTCTCTTGGAAAACCAATTATGATGGATGAAAACACGGCTCAAAAGGAGAGATTGGCTTTTGCTAGGGTTCTGGTTGAAATGGAAGTGCAGGAATGAATGTGTAAGGAAGTTCTGTTTGAGAATGAATTTGGTACAGTTCTCTGTCAAGAAGTGCAATATGAATGGTTGCTTGTCAAATGTGCTAGTTGTCATGGCTTTGGATATGAAGGGAAAGACTATAGAAAGAAAGAGATACAGAAGGAGAAAGCAATACCTTAGTCTGGTTGGAAACTGAAAAAGGATGAAGGTATAGGGAAACAAAAGCAACCAGTTCAGCAGGGTACTAAGGAGAAGCTGAGTTATAAGAAACCTGTAGCTAGTGGATCAAAGAGTGTGATAGAAGTGATGGATAAGGAACCTGTGGTTTTAGCTAAAAATGGAGAGCCTGGTCACGAACCAAGGGGGCCTAGCCTTCATGGATAACCTCCTAATTTGGAATGTTAGAGGGCTTAACAGCCCTCTGAAACACGGAGAAGTGCGACATGCATTATCTGTGAATAAAGCTGGGTTCATTGCTTTATTGGAAACTAAGTTAACAGGCAACAAGGTTGGTGAAATAATGCAGCAAAAATGGGGGCAGATGGAATATATTAGTAATCATAGCTCAACTGAGAAGGGATAGATCCTGATTATGTGGACTAAGAATGAATTTCAGGTGTCAGTAATCCGCTGTGAGAAGCAACTGATATACTGTCAAGTGAGGCATGTAATTCAACAAAAGGAGTTTACTATTACAATAGTATATGGAGATCCACAAGTTGCTGAATGAGACAAACTCTGGCAAGCTTTGTTAAGAATAGCAGCAAGTATACAGCAAGCATGGGTTGTAGCAGGAGACTTCAACATTATCCTAGCTGTTGAAGAGAAGTTGGGAGGAACCAATGATTTAAGTGGAGATGCAGGGATGTTTCAGATGGTGGTGGATATCTGTTATCTGGAAGACATGAAGACTCAAGGAAGTTTGTTCACCTGGAATAATATGAGAATTGGGGTAGAAAGAATTCTTGCAAGATTGGATAGATGTTTGATCAATGAAGCCTGGTTAGATGTCTTTGAAAACAGTTATGTAACCACCCTGCAAGCTGGGGTATCTGACCATACGCTATTGCTGTAAAGCTGGGAGCTGCAAATATCAAGAAGAAGCCTACTTTCAAATTTTTTAATATGTGGAGCAAATCTCCACTATTTAAAGAAATTGTAAGATATGTCTGTGAAGGTAAAATAGATGGGTGTAAGCAATTCCAGGTGGTAAAAAGCAGAAGTTGCTTCAAGGGAAGTTGCGGGAGTTAAATCAGCAACAGTTTTCAAATATTGATTAGCAAGTAGCAGAAGCCCATGAGCAGCTTAAGTGCATTCAAGAGCAGCTAGGAATGACTCCACTTGATGTTTCTCTACACGAGGATGAGAAAAAAGCAACAGATCTGTTGATTCTAAATCCAAAGCTGCTATAAGTTTCTGGAAACAGAAGCTCAAAGAAAATTGGATCAAGGAGGGAGACAGGAATACAACATATGTTCATGCTAGTATCAGGGGGAAATGAATGCACAATCGAATTATGTCTTACACTCGAGATGATGGGAGTATAGAGGATGAATGGTCAGAAGTGGAGAATCATTTTGTTGGGTATTACAAAGGATTACTTGATCAGGAAAGGATTAGAAAGCCTGCACAAAAGGAGATTTTTTATGCTGGGAATAAGCTTACATGCCAACAGCAAATTGAACTCCTCAAAGACTTTACCAAAGAGGAGGTTCGGGTTGCAATGTTCAGCATCAGCAGTAAGAAGAGTCCTGGTCCAGACGTATACGAAAGTGGATTCTACAAGCAAGCTTGGACATCATAGGTAATGACCTAACTGGTGCTTACTTGAGTTTTTTGCTACTGAAAAATGTTAAAACAATTGACTGCAACTTTTGTTTCTTTAATTCCAAAAAATGCCGTGCCAAAAAATGCTTTAGAATATAGGCCTATCTCTTGCTGTAATACGATATATAAATGTATGTCTAAGATGCTTTGTAATTGAATTAGCAAGATATTGCCTTGTTTTGTAGATAGAAATCAGGGGGCATTTGTTCAGGGACGGAAGATTGTGCATAACATTCTTCTAACCCAAGAACTAGTTAGGTTGTATTGGAGGAAAAATGTAAAGGCTAGCTGTATGATAAAAGTAGATGTTAGGAAGGCCTTTGATACTGTGAACTGGAAATTTATAGAGTAGATGCTAGAAGCCTTTGGTTTCCGCAAAAGTTTACAAGATGGATAATGGCATGTGTTTCTGGATGCTGGTTTTTGTTAAACCTTAATGGCAGTAGTGTGGGGTTCTTTGAAGGGAAACGTGGTTTAAGGCAAGGGGATCCTATATCCCCCCTGCTCTTTGTCATGGTTATGGAATACCTAACTCGCTGTTTTAAGGTGGCTGTGAAGAATCAGCAGTTAAAAATGCATCCTAAATGTGACAAGTTGTAACTCACTAATCTAGGGTTAGCGAATGACCTGATAATCTTGTCTAAGGTTGAAATAACCTCTGTCAGGACTGTAAAATCCATCCTGGAACATTTTGGGGAGACAACAGGATTGTATGTCAATAAGGGGAAGTTGAATATATATTGTGCTGGTATCAGTGATAGTCTTAAAGAGGAAATTCACAGATGTATGGATTTTGAAGAGGATAGTTTTCCTATGAGATACTTGGGGTTGCCGATATCTCCTGGTAAGTGGAAAGAGCATGACTGTCAGCAGCTGGTGGATAGAGTTACAAAGCGACTGCCTAGTTAGAAATCGAAGCACATGTTGTATGCTGACAGGTGCCAACTGATTAACTCTGTATTGAGTTCTCTTTATGTATATTGGGGAAATACCTTTTTACTTCCAAAGAGAGTAGTTACCCAGATTACGAGACTCTGTAGAAGTTTTCTTTGGGGGAGTAACAAAACAGGAAACAGGATCATTAGTAGCTTGGACCCAGGTGTGCAAACCTAGAAAAGAAGGGGATTTGAATGTTAGACACCCTGCTGTGTGGAATGAAGCTGCAATTGCTAAGCAGATTTGGGACATTGTTCAGTGTAAAGAGATTTTTTCTGGGTGAAATGAGTGCATGGCTACTATTTGAAGGGAAAGGAAATATGGGAGTATCCCATTGATAATAGCTGGCATTGGTGCCGAATAATGAAGATTAAAACCAGAATGAAAGTGGAGATTGATGATGGAATCTGGAAACAGAACAGTAAATTTACTACTCAAATGGCATACCAGCAATGGCGCAACAAAGGGGAGAAGTTCAAATTGGCAGAGATGGTCTAGAATAGAAGATGCTTGCCAAAGCATAGTTTTATTGTCTGGATTGCATGTCAGGACAGATTGCTCACTATGAGCAGGCTGCTAGAGCTAAATATCATACTTACAACTATTGACTGTGTACTTTGTGAGATAGGTAGTGTAGAGAGCACTCAGCATTTACTGTTTCAATGTGAGTATGCACAAAAGATATTGCAGGAGTTACTGGTTTGGCTTGAGTTTAAGCGAAGAGGCTTGACAGTTGATCACTTGGCCATCAAAATCAGAAATGGCTGTGGTCATAACAACCTGAAAAGAGGACTAGTTAGTGGAGCTGTTATAGCTTGTATTTACCACATCTGGTTGGAGAGGAATACTAGAAGATTTGCCCAGAAGAATATGGAAGTAGTAGCACGTTGTAATCAAATCAAACAGGAGCATGAATGGTTTTTTTCAGGTGAGCAAAAGGACGTTGAAGCAGTCTGAGATCGTTTTTTTGAATAGAATAGGCATACTTGTACATGAGTAGTATGGAAGTAGTTCACAGTTTTGATTGTAAAGAAAACAGTTTGTTGGTTGAAGTAATATAATTTACCTTTACCAAAAAAAAAAAAAAAACTAAGTGAAAACTATTGATTTGATAGAAGCATGGAAGTGCAAAAGTTATACGCCCTTTGTATGGTGCCAGAATAAACTTTGAAACACTCTTAAATAATAACATCCATGCTCCATAACACTACCATTCCACTACCGTTAACCCTCTACAAAATTCCTCCCAATATTTACTCTCCTGTCTCATTTCTACTATGTGCTCAAACAAATAGGTGCAAAAAATGTGATTGAATCAAGGTATTCTCCATCCTTTCCCTCTCGTGGTGAGACAATCCATACTCGATCACAGTTATGGTTGGGTCAAAGTTGTGATGTTGGTTGTGCATGTAGAGGATCTTGTCCAGCTTATCCTTTGCACGAATGCAAACATTTGCACAGTCTAGCATATCCAAAGTACAACCCGCAATACCACCAGCTGGTACAAGCATTCCAAGGAGTTGATAACTAGTGTTCAAATCAACAATTTGGGTGCAATACTGTTGTTGTTCTGTGGAGTCAGTGAACATGAGCTTGCAAAATTGCGATTGAGTGCATCAATCTCTTCACATTTGCTCCTCATAGTAGACATCAAGCTTGTACATGAGAGACACTGATCGAAGATGGGCCTATTAGCCAAAGCTTCAACGGTATTGAGAACGCTGGAGGTGAGGGAGGGGTGAGATTGATGAGGGGGACCATTACTCCAGCGTGCGCAACGTTCTGCTCCAGGATATTGTCATCATTCCTGGTGTTTCTCTTCTCCTGAATGATGCCAGCGTTAACCTAGGTAGGGATGTTTTCCTCCGGCAAAGCACCTTCTCTGATGTTCTTCCCCAAAGGGAGAACAACGTCCTCATCAGCCACAACAAAATCATTGATCTTAATAAATCTGTCAAGTTGGTTTACTGAGCTTTTGGACCCGGGACGTCGCTCTTGTTGATCATCTCCATTACCATCCCAACCCAACAACAGTGGGGCTCCGGGTCTATCTTCAAGCAAAGCCCACTCGTAAACAACATTTGCAGTGTTAATAGCGTTTCCCAACCTAGGTGCACCAAAAACTTCTTCCAAGTTCTGGAATATGTGATCCGAAGACCTCCCAAATCAAATTGTAACATATTAAATTCAATAAATTTAACAAAAAATAATCAACACTAATACATGAAACTCTTACATGCATTCCACATTTGTGTTGCTGGCGGAGGGAGGGGGAACCATTAGGGGTAGTCCTTATCTCCCCTCCCTCCTCCCTTTATGCAGTTACAAAGAAAACATATAAATTTTAAAAACATTAATTATATACATATTTTTAAAAAATTCACTCTTCCAAAATATGTTTTTTAAAAAAAAACTTTCACCCATGTTTCTTACAATTCTTAGCTCTGACACTGAGTATTGTTGATATGAATCTTGAAGCAAAAGTGGCAGATTTACCTCGATGCGGAAGCTACGAATTTCCCAAGACTTGATAACTTGCGAATTAATGGAGAAGACTCCATACCACACGAAAAAAGAAGAAGAAAAAATGCAAATCACAAAAATTTCCACTAAAGGGATGGAAAGATTCGAAAGATGAAGAAAGGTGTTTTGGTTAGCAACCCAATCGGTTCCCCTCTAACAACCCTATCCCTTCGATTTATGGATAGATCGGCTAGAGAAACGCTCAAATGAACAAACTAACAAAGCTCCACACGTGAAGAACACTTAAAATCACGCGCACACGTCAACGAAGCAAAACAAATGTGCAATGCACTAATTTTCGAAAAGAATAGAAAAAGAACAAAAAGTTTCCGCTCGTCTCGTATTGAAAAATCAATAATTATCAAATTCATACCATATTGTATGTAAAAGTCACAACCAAAGCCCCTATAGGTCAAGGAACTGCATAGGTCAGCCAATACAAAGAGAAATCCAATTTGAACTCTTATTTGGATTTCTTGGGTTAAAAGTTTCTTAAACGTCCAAAAATAACTAAAACGATAATTAAATAAATAATTGCACATGTCCATCATGATGAAACTACGGAAAAATCCTTTTCCTAATCGAAGTAGAAAATTCGGCCAAATCTGTCCGCGCGCTGTCAACCTCCTCATCGACCGACATTCTGCTCGACGCCTCTCTGTTGACTTTTGTGTCGACTAATTCCTTTCGACCAACACCTTGACGTGCATCAAAACCTTAAATTTCACTCCAAGACAAACATGAAACCCATGAAATTGCTCGTCGACATCCTTTGCTCGGCTAAGAGCTTGAAGGTATCTTGTCGACTTCGTTATCGACTTGAATTTGGCTTGACACGAACCATTCTTTGGTTTCAATCTTCCATCATCCTTGATTCCAACCTAAACATGATACCATATACCCCCTATGTGATCAAAATTAATGTAATGATCATCATAGTTAGGTATGACACTCAACGGGCCATCCAGGTTCACATCATTCCCCCTTTCTTTGAAATGATTCGTCCTCGAATCGTGTGTTATGTAATTCCAGAGGAACAAATTATTCATAGTCTTCATTTTCTTCTTTTTGTATGATCTTATGTCTTTAAGAAAATCATTGAATGGATCAAATACCTCAACCACCATTGAGAATTTATCATCAAACACAAAATTAATGTGCTCCACTTCTTGAAATAATTGCAAATGATTTGACTCCTCGTCCTTAACATCACCAAGTGGGGCAATTTCAGAATCCATTGCTATGGAATGATATTCTTCAACAACAGTTTCAACCCGTGGATAAGAAATAGAAACAACGAAAGAATTTATGTTGTTAGAAAATTTTCTTCCAAAACCAAATCTTGGATCTTTTGCTTGAACTCATGTTGCCACTCTTCACATTCTTTCTTCTCTTCCTCTACTGCAATACTTTGTACTCGTAGCTCTTCTTCCTTGGCGTATTCTAGGAAAGAAGATTGTAGGTTCTTTGTTGTCTCTAAAATTCTTTGCAATTGAAGTTCCACTGCTAGAATTTGTTGTTGCATGATCTCTTGGGATTCAAAGATTTGTTGTAACACAGCTTGCTCCCCTTGTATTCTTCTTTGTTCCGCTTCACGAACTCTTTCTTTATTTTTCTTTGTAATGATCTCGTACCTCTAAAACTCTTATTCTTTCTTATGGAGTCTCTCTTGTTTTGAAAACGTATTATTTCGAAGTTTTTGACGAAGCACTAGCCAAGAAACAACGGGAGAATGACCAAACCATTTCCGATCCCGTTCATGACCAGCCCACCATGTAGCTGCATTTTACTCTCTTAGTCTCTGAAAAATCATTAAGTTGAAACACTCTTTTCCACATGTAATTCCCACTGATCTTCATCTTGTCGGGCATCAAACTTCGGAAACTTCTTTTAGGAGTATAGTAAATCCATCATAATCTTCATCATAAACTCTACCATCACCATAATGATCATAGCATCTCATTCTACCTTGTTAGAACAAGAAAATAGAATATCGAAGAACTCATTACCTTGTTACCCCTCCTAACTACACTATTCACTCCCCAAGATCACTCAAGAAGGTTTAGAATTTCGTAAGGGATGGATTCACTTGGTTCTTACCACTGTCTTTGTCCTTTTAATCCTTAGTGCAACGAAGATTAGTGCTACTTTGTGCAAGCGACTAACGAGGTTAAAAATATGATTCTGAATAATTGTAACAAGATTTAAGGAAGAATACGAATCGAGTAGTTACAACTATGAAAACTTAGATCTCACAAAAAAGGCTAGTAGAAACTTGGAGCAAATTTTGAAAAATTAAGCTTCGATTTAGGGTTAAGGATAAACCCTAGTTCTCGGCCACAACACAAATTTAGGGTTATACTTTTCAAAAACCCTAGTCCCAACTCCAAATAATTTCGAAAATAAATGTGCCAATAATGGTTATTGCACTTCAAATCAAACTCAAACATCAAATCTCATTAAATAAGGTAACCTTTGATATACCCTTTAAAAGAAGATACTTTCGAATTGAATACACACTCTCAAATCTCCTTAAATAAGGTAATATTAATGTACCCCTTAAAAGAACAAACTTTCCTTTTTATACATTGCCTTTTTTTTTTGCACGCTACTTTTTTTTCTCTTTTTTTTTCTTTCCTTATACTACTTTAAACGTGGATTAAGGGTTAAGGAGCCCAAAAATCTAAACCCTAGCAAGAAAACAACACACACCGCCGCCAACAAGACTAAACCTAACTACTTCAACTTCAATCAAGAACAATTTTGAAGTAAATAGTGAGATCTATGACAAAAGACACAAAATTATGAAAGAACAAATAGCGATCAACCAAAGATGAGATTTAAAAGATCAAAACACATGCAAGGAATCAAGAACCGAAGCTCTGAAGCCAAACTCATACGAATCTTAAGGCAAAGGTGGCAAATTTACCTCAACGTGCATCAAAACCTTAAATTCCACTCCAAGACAAACATGAAACTCGTGGAATTGCTCGTTGAATTCCTTTGCTTGGCTATGAGCTTGACGGCATCTTGTCGACTTCATTATCGACTTGAATTTGGCTTGATGTGAACCGTTCTTTGGCTTTAATCTTCCATCATCCTTGATTCGAACCTCAACATGATACCATACGCCCCCTATGTGATCAAAATCAATGTAATAATCATCATAGTTAGGTAAGATACTCAACGGGCGATCCAGGATCACATCAATTGCACTGGTCATTCGCCAATTACTCTATTAGGTTATGGAGGGACTAAATGTGTGAACTTCTTCTAATTAACTCCCGTAATTGTTTTCATTTCTAACTTCATCATCTATTATAAAATTTTCATTTGCAAACTCAATGATAATATCATCTTCGAGCTCAACTTATTTGATAAAATTATGCGCCAAACAACACGCAATCTCCAAATTCACTTAGTTCTCAAAACAATAATTGTTCATAAGGTCCCCCACGAAAAACAAATTTACATTTTAATATGTCAAAGCCACATTTCTCAAAGAGGATTGAGCATGATAAGTATTCTTTTGCAATTTTTAGACTGTGACTCTGGCATGAGAAGTCTGCAAATGGTAGCAAATACCTCAAAATGGAGCCATAAATCCAGACATATTCATTTAGACCGAATCAACCACGCAGTTCTTGCCTAAAGTAGGCATTAGAAAAGTGATATCTTCACAAAACAAGGTACTTTATAGGAATATAGCATCATGTGTGCATTCTAATCCGACATAAACAAAAAGAAAGCGCAAATCATATTTACATACCATTAACACATTCTTAGATATGTCTCATTTCTTATTTTTGTAGCTTCTACGTAATCTTGGCAAAAGAAAAAAAATCATTCAATTGACAACTAACAATATATTAAACATAATACATTGTGAAAAACACCAAATGTCACATCACTCCCGTTGTTCTAACATACTGGACATAACAAAACTCGTATACAACACAGATTACATAATAATCATATGTATTGTAGCATACCTATGAATGTAATTATTAGATTATTTCAAAAGTAACTTTATTTTGTAGAGTTTTCACATTACAGTTCCTCGTCTATACTGCAAAAAAAGAAGCGAGTTCCCGGTAGTGATGAATTTATTGTAACAATCAATAACTTTTGCCGTTAAGTCATTGCTAATAATCAATCGGTTCAAGAAATAATTATCTTATGAAAGCCGTTTAATAGTCCTAGGGCTGTAAACAAGCCAAGCCACTCGCAAGCTATTCGCGAGCTGGCTCGGTCAAAGCTCGGCTCTCGAACTGACTTGATAATAAAACGAGTCGAGTACGAGCTAGTAAAATATAGGCTCATTGGCTCGTCGAGCGGCTCGAGCCAGTTGTTATATTTATTAAATAAAATATTACTTAGCATTTTCTTTTTCTAAATTACCTATTAATTAATTCATTAATTGGCACCCTTTTTTTTAATGTTATTCTGACCTTCATTTCTCTCTCATCTTCTCATCTCCTCTGTCTACCATCATCTGCCTATTGATTCAAAACAAGATCTAAAAATATGGGTTTCTCATGAAAACTTTTATCCATAGAAGAAAGTGTTGAATTGGTTGAGGCTGAAAGGCATCTTCGGAGATCTGACAAAATAATGTGTTTATAATTCTTATTTTTTTCGGTAGAATAGATTGAAAAGTGAAGGGTCTTTGGTAAAAAAATATTGAATTGGGATTGGATAAGGTGAGAGTTGGCAATTTCCTACCCCTTCTCCCTTGATTCTTAATCTTCTTTTATAGATTTCACTACAAAAAAACATGTTGCCCATGAAAGTTTGACCAAAAGTGTTTTTCACGGATTTTCCATGGATTTCCCACAAGATTTCAGACGAAAGAAAATGTGGTGGGTATTCTGTGGGTAAAAGTTTCCCGCCTTTAAATTTTTCACGAGTTTTTCACAACAGACCTTGTGGAAAATCACACACGAGCGAACTCGTGGACAAATCAGATCACCCACAGATTTCCCACGGATTGTTTTTGTGGTTACCATTTCCGCACGCAACCCGTGGGTTAAAGTTTCCCGCTAACAAATTTCCCATGACTTTTCCCATAAAAACAGCTGTGGATAATTACACACACAAATGTCTACATGGAAAACACGTGGGAAACTAATATCGCCCACGTATTACCTACGGATTTATTTGGTGGGTAAAATTTCCAGATTTAAACCTTAGGTGAAAGTTTTCCGCCAACAAGCTCCCCACGAATTTCCCACGAGTTTACCTGTGGACAATTAGACACGGGGTTTACTTCGAGGGGAACTCGTGGGTGATAGTTATCACCCAAAAAATTCAAATGTAAACCATGTGCGAGTTAAATTGCCCACGAGTTGTGGTCGTGGGTGAGTAATGGATAAGTAATGTTACCCACGGTTTACCCACGACTTTTTTCGTTGGTAAGTATAGTTTCCCACGGCTTTCCCACAATTTTTTTTGTGGGTAGCGATTTCATGGTATGTCGTGGGGAATACGTGGGTAAACTTCACCACCCACGGCTCTTTTGTTGGTAATTCGTGGGTAAAATAATTGTAAAATATTTAAATTTTATTCATAAATAATTTGTATTAGGCAGTTTGACATAATTATTGGTTAAATTACTATATATATACATACATATATACATTATATATATGTATATAAATGTGATATCGATGTATTCGTTGTATATTTTTTGTGTAGTTTGATCAAATAATGCACTTGATATTAAATTGTATCTACTTTGTACATATATAGGTAGTTGTCAAAATAGTATGTATGGTACTTATTATATAGTACATGACAATATGTATATACTTCATTCCAAAAAGACTGTTGATGAACTATATAATCATGCATGACAATAGAGTATATATTGATAATGTACTTGAAAAAGACAGTTGAGACAATTGAGTCTTTGATTCTTCTTTTTCTTTTTGGTTGTAGCTCGGCTGCTCTGGATGATGTGCCTTTGGTTATGATCTTTTTGTTCATTGATTGAGATTTAGGTGAAACCTTACTGGCTAGCTTTTGTATGAAATACTATTAGGAGAAATTTAATAGGTTAATGGATGCTACAATTGGATTAAAATGTGTCACTCTCAATGTGAAAATTCCGATATATGTTGTCTTAGGCTTGTAGTTTTCTGGGTACGTTGATGCATTCTGTTGCATATGAGATTGGGAACTATTGGGTTTTGTATGCAAGTGCGCAGTACACCCTATTTCCGTGGATTTGGGAGTG